ATAATTATATATCAAATATATTTATTTGATTATATATCCTCAAATCTAACAAGGAACCCATTCCTCAGAGAAGACTGAACACATATGAAGTTTGGAGGGGTTTTCTCCACTCTGTGTTTAGTGTTATTGATTAGCTAAACCCAAAAATGTTGTTGAAAAAGGTTATTATTTCCATTCATCAGTAACAGCAGGACAGCTTGAGGTGTTTTGGGGGAATTCCAGAAACACTCCCCTGGAAGAAGACTAAGCATGGAAAGCTTGAATCCAAGAAGAAGACTTGTCAGCAAACAGACTTGTAACAGGCATCCTGATGTACTGTTAACGAGAATTAACTTAAGTTAAATTGGGTGAACAGACAAATCTCATAGATAGCAAATGAATATTGTCAAAATGAGATTTATCCAGAAATAACTTATCTGGGAAGTATGTGAAACTTCCATCCCTTAAGGATTTTATGGTGATATTGGGAAAATGTCTTTTATGAATGCTTTTGGTAAAGTTGGCTCTGCCCTGGGATCTAGATGACATTTCAGGCTTGTGTAAAGAAGATTAAACAGATTACACTAGAATATCTATGGATAAAAAAAAAGTGAGCACTGTGGAATAAATTCCTTTTGTGTATTTCTGCAACTCTGTTTAAAAAAAAATTTTGGTCTCTAGTTTGCTCCCTCCAAATGTTTCTCTGTTGCATCAGATTTGAGTAACTTGTCATGAACGGGTGCTTCTTATAATAAGAGCTGGCACAAGGTGAATTTCCTTCATATTTTTCTAAATGTGACTCAAAGTCTATGACTAAAACCTGTAGATGCAGGGTGCTAAATCTGGGAGTGTCCGCTCCTGGATGAGTGACCATTAGGTTCTTCTTTCCTGAGAACTGCTGTGGTTTCTTGCCATGGTGCATTGTAAAATACTGGCCTTTAAAACTGCAGCATGCTGTCCAGGGGATGCGTTTGGCTGATAAATAGTTTATAGAAAACTTTTTAAATTAAATAGTTTTCTTCTTCCCCTCCCCAGCTGGACTGACTGTAGAGAGGAATTTTGCTTTTAAGCAGGAGAGAAGGGAAGGGAGGGAAGCAATTATTTTCTCAAGCTGTGGCGCACACTACTAAAACAGCTGCTCTTGTTTGCTTTCTTAAAAAGGAAATGGTGGTACAGGGTAAAGGCTGCTTGTTAATAATTTAAATATTCTCAACTGGTGCCAGTCAAACTGTACCATAAGATGTTGTAATTTCTGATAGACATTTTTCATGTGTCAGCAGTGCTTGAAGAAATAAGGATTTTCATGTACTACAGTAAATCCTGTTTAGGTAATAATAAAAAAAAAAATACATACAAAACCAAAATAAAAGCAGGCAGTAGTTCTGGAACATGTTCAGCAAGAAGCACAGTTTTAAACAGCTTAAGGCGAGGTTGTTTTTAATATTCTGGAAAGGGTGAATAGAGAAATTCACACTTGTCTTGCTGGTGAGTTGTTTGCCTGCCTGCAGGACAGACAAGGCGCCAGAGCGCTGATTTATGTTGCTTTCCCAGAAGAAGGACTAAAGCTTGTGAGGCTTTACATCCTCTTACAGTTGTCTACTTACTGAATGACTACATAAAGTTCCTACTCTTCAAGCTTTGCTTTAATTGGTGTGGCCTTGAGTGCGAAGGCAGTGACATCAGAGCACTACAAACAGTGACAAATAACTAGTGTTAGGCTGAATGCAGCAAATCTGCAAAAAGGAATTAATTCAATGGATAATGAGCTATCACGTGCTTGTTTCCTCTTCTATTCAGACAAAAGTGCCCTGCTTTAGTAGAGGAGTGTGTCTGGGACATATTTCTAGAGAGAATAGCCATTGTAAATTGCTTAGCTGTATTTATAATTCCTTATTTATAATAATTTTAATTCCTCTCTAATCTGACAGTGGCCCATATTCATTGTGAAATCAGAGACTACTTTAAGCAAATCTGCCATATTTATTACCTAGATTGGAATTGTTTATCATTTCTTTGTATAGCAGCTGATTGTTCTTCTCTCTTGCTTTTTCTTTCCGTTCGCTGTAGTTTACGCTTATTCCAGAAATTTGACACTTTCCGGATTCTAGTTTGCGGTGGGGACGGAAGTGTTGGCTGGGTTCTCTCCGAAATTGATAGCCTCAATCTTCACAAGCAGGTACCTGCCCAATGAGCTTAGTTAGATGAAAGAATGAAGGAATAACAACAGCTTGGGTTGAAGGGGACTTTCTTTGATCATACAGACGTACTTTGCCCCAGGACTGAAGCCAGTGAAAGCTTACCACAGCAGTGCTCTTGGGGTAATTTTCTGCAAGAAGCAGTACCAGACTAATTCATTATTCCTATCTCCATTGCTCCCTGACAACTCCCTCTTACAAGATGCAGCTTTTGAAGTAGCTCTGAGTTATTCCTACTCCATTGCCAGCAGAGACTTACGCTCAGAAAGGGCTGCAGTTAGAAAACTGGGAGTTCCACAAGGGTAGTGCTCCTCATCTAATCCCTTTAATTCTTGTGGTGGTGTTTCTGAGTCCTGGGATAGACAGAAACTTCATTGGAGTAGAGGTATCATGCAGTGTTTAATTTGTTTCCATTTTGTCTTGGAGAGGGCTATGCTAATTTTACAGAAAAAGCAATAGCACCACCTGATGGTTAAATAAATACATCTGTAGAAGGGGTTACTTTTAGTAAGATGGTCCTTGAGATGATAGCTGTAATACACTCCTCTCTCAATCAACAACTTAAAAGTAGAGGAAATTTTTCCTTACTTGCATGCTCTTCTGGCTGTTTTCCCCATCCAAGTACTTTCTTCTCCCACTGGGACTAGCTGTTTCTCAATGACTGGTTTGTGTAAGGAATCAGTCATGTAACTTGTGGCTGTTTGTGGCTTGTGTTTTTCCACTTGAATATCAGTTTTGGTTTCCTTTTCTCTAATGCAGTGCCAGCTGGGAGTGCTGCCCTTGGGAACAGGGAATGACCTTGCCCGTGTGTTAGGCTGGGGGTCTGCTTGTGATGATGATACCCAGCTCCCACAGATCCTTGAGAAGCTGGAGAGGGCCAGTACCAAAATGCTGGACAGGTGAGTAACCATCACTAACATCTTCCCCTCCTCAAGGGTTGTGTGAAAATACCCTTCCAGGAGAACTGGGCAGTTCTTGATTCTATCCAGCTGCTGGACTTCTTACTGATGCCAGTTAATGTTTTTTCTTTGATAATCCTCTGTCACCCTTTAGCAACAAAAGGTAGTCTGGCTTTCTGTGTCACTGCTGCAGAATGGTAATGAGTGAAATTGATGTCCAGTGTCCTCTCTTGTGTTCCAGAGTTCTCATAAAATGAATTTGACAGCCTTACAGTTATGATTTATTTTTTTAAGCTAATTTTTTTCTTGGTTAATTTGAACCAATTTATCTTGAGTTTGGCTTAGAAATGAAAACTGAATGCAGAAATGGACATCTTTACCTCTGGTATTGATATTACCTATATATCTTTGTACTTTTAAAAATGCTTCTTGTCTTTAGAGTTGCATCTTTGCATCTATTGCGCTGAATCAAGTAATGCCGATAGAATTTCTGTGAGAGAGGGAAGAAGTACAGAGAAGGTCCTTGTGCTGTAGGATACTTGTTCATAGTGTCATCCCTTCCTCTTCCTGCAGTTCAACCCCTCTGCAGTTCCACTGCAACCCTATGGCTTTCTTACATCAGTTGTGCCCCTGCCAAAGTGCAGTTTGTTCTGCTTGAGGTTCTAAACTGTTATGTCCTTTGGATAAAGGAGGAAATCATCTGCCTTGTAGTGACAGCTATGATGTCTCCTTTTCAACAGGTGGAGCATCATGGTATATGAAACCAAACTCCCTCGCCAGGCTTCCACTTCCACAGTCACTGAAGATTTCAGTGAGGATTCTGAGGTACCTCATGAGATGCAGAGGGCAGGGGACTGGGAGCAATGGCCTCAGAACAGACAAGATAGGAGGCAGTAGTTGAGTTGAAATAGAGCAGGCCTGAGCTGTGACTTGGGTGAAGCAGGAGCTGCAAAGGTTCTGGGTCTTTAAGTCAATGAAGTATTATGGAGAAGGATGGAGGCTGGGTTACCAGAGTCAACAACCATAATGGGGAATGGGAGGAAAATGCTTTGGAACAGGACAGAGAGGAAATGATTGACTTTTATCTGCTGTCGAGACATCATGTTATTGAAATTGTGGAAAGCTGCATAGCAGTCACAAGAACCGTAAAAACCCAATTGTAGATCCATAGTTAATCAGAGACTCTAAGAACTGCACTGCTGATGATTTCTAGGTTCAGAATTAGTTTCTTCATCAAATTTAGATCTTCAGTGGGTAACTGAGCCCTGGACCGCAGAATTTTTCCAGGGCAAAAAGAGCCAGGGTTACACAGCATATGTTGTAATGTTGGGGAGCAGCACCCCAGTGGTTTGTTTCTGACTGTCACTAGGTGCAGAAGATTCTCTTCTATGAAGACTCTGTGGCTGCTCATTTGTCCAAAATTTTGACTTCTGACCAGCACTCAGTGGTCATCTCCTCAGCCAAGTGAGTACTTAGAGGACAACTGCTCTAAGTGAAAGTTGCACTGTGAAAATCCTGATACAATCCTTCATGACTTTTGTTTTCACTGCCTTCTTTGTCTAGGGTGCTTTGTGAGACAGTGAAGGATTTTGTGGCTCCCGTAGGGGAAGCCTATGGGAAAGCCTATGAGAAGGCAACGGAAAGCTCAGAGGAGTCAGAGGTCATGGCCAGGAAGGTAAAATTGGAAAAATTGTTTGGGTTTCTACTTCTGAAGTGGAAAACTGCTGTGTGCAGAGAACTAGGACAGCAGCAGTTCAACAAGCACTAAAAGAATGAGCTACCCAGTCTACTGTTAGTTCTACTCAAATGTTCTTCTTCGCCTTGTAGTGCTCTGTCCTGAAGGAGAAGCTGGACTCATTGCTGAAGACACTGAATGATGAATCTCAAGCGTCTTCATCTCTGCCAAACCCTCCTCCCACCATTGCAGAGGAAACTGAAGATGGTGATGGGTCAGGCAGTGCTTGTGATTCTTCTAGTGACCGGTCACTGGGCTCGTCATGTACTGCACGGCCCCAGATATTTCGTCCCCGAGAACAGCTTATGTTGAGAGCCAACAGCTTGAAAAAAGCCATTCGTCAGATAATAGAGCATGCAGAAAAAGGTAAACTATTAGGAGTCCTGCTCGTGACTTGTTACACAGTCCTGAGAGGCATAAATTTCCTTTATTCCAGAGGGGAGTAGGGTTCTTTATTAAAAACAGCTTTGCTGAGCTAGAGAAGTAAGCCTGGCTATTTAGTTTCAGTACCATCTCTGCCAAGCCCACCTGTTTGAAACACTGCTTGGTACATGACCCTGAAGTTCAAGGTATGTTCTCTCCCATAGGGCTGGTTTAGGAAGTTGCTGCCCTCCCACACTCTGTTCATTTGCATTTCCTGTCTGTCCCCACCCATACCACAATTGTGTCAGCGCAACTGTTTGTGTGGCCTTGCTGTAAAACAGATCTGAAAATACTTGGGAAAAAAGTATTTTAAGTATTTTAACTTGGATTATTTCAGAAATCTGTTTATAGTACAGCCCAGCAAAACAGTGGAGTGGTACAACTGCAAGAGAGGGCAGGAACTTCTTAAATGAGCTTTGTCACTGGGAAGATGTTATAATACTGCACCTTGATGCAAATCAATTCTGTTCTGATGTAACTTCCTAGGCAGGTGACCTTCTCCACATCTTGACCCTTATCTCTCTCCAGCCCCTCACACCCATAGCTCAAAGTTTCATTTCCTTCAAAAGGCGTCAGTCTCCCAGATGTTAGTCATAAACTCAGTGGTTTAACTTAGACCAAAGGAAGTACTTAACAGCTTATTACTGTTTAAGTGTATTACTGTTTAAATTACTTATTAAATGTGCACTATGAACAACTATGTAGTCAGTTACAGATCATTCCAATGTTGTGTGGTTTTCCAGCACTGCAGTATTGTATACAACATATCCTGAAGGCAAAGTTATACAAGATGATGGAAGTTGAGCAAACAGCTTGCTTCTGGTGAAGTAGAGGTCTTGACCTCGCTGCTGCCCCACTGCTGCTGCTTACCTTAGGCCAATTTGATATTTGTTGGAGTTCTTTTGGAGCCCAACCAATTTGCTTAATCCAGCAGGAAGAGTTTATATTTCTGCTGAGCTAGTGGGTTGGATTGCATTGTGGGTAGTTTTGATGAACTCCAGAGTTAGCACAAGGGAGAGGAAGAGACTGAAAGAAGGGGGGCTCATCCCCCTGCAGAGGCAGTGAGCTGGTAGATCAGCTCAGGGCTGTTCACAGAGCTGTGCCCTGTGAGGGGTTGCTGGGGAGGAAGGCCTATTGATTACACACAAAGGAAGTTTTGGTTTCTTTAGGCAACATGCTAGCATTTAATTCTTAGCAGCTCTTGGACAAACTCCTTTTACATTTCAAATGTATTTGTTCAACTTCTCCAAACTGTTTTTCCTCTTCCAAAGTACGTAATCTGATTCTTTCCTTTGTTTGTATTGTTTTTTTACCAACTGCTCTTTTCTTCCTCCTGATGATATGTGTCTAACTGCCCTTTTCGAGTGGCTTATCCTATTGCCCCAGTACAGATTAAGCAAACAGAAAATTCATTAAATTTATCATTTAATGTCCATCTGGTTAGAATTACTGGCAACATCTAAATGCAAATAAATGTAAGCCCATCACCTGTAGCGCAGTTTACATCTCAGGAAGCCTGAGTACCTGTACCATTGAAGGTGGACACTTCTATTTAGAGCATCACTGCTAAAGAGCTCAGCAAAGAAAACAGGAGGCTAAGCCAGCCCAGTTCCAAAACCTCTCCAGAGCAGAGCTTAGTTGAGACAAATGATACAGGAAAGCTTTTTGTTATTCCTGTTCTTTCCCTTAAGAAATCAGGGTCTTTAGAGTCCCATCTTATTGTTATTTACATCAGTGGGAGGTGTTCCTTGCTAGAAGAGCTGTGAGGCACTCACCTACTTTCTCTTTCCTTACAGCTGTAGATGAGCAGAACGCCCAGACCCAGGAGCAAGAGGGCTTCCTCCTTAGTCTCTCAGCCTCTGAAGAGGGCAAGGAGCTGAGGAACGAGGATAAAATCTCCCTGCAGTCATCACACAGCAGCAGCTATGGAGTGTCCAAAGGGAGGAGCCAGCGGAAAGGTACTGCTCCAGGGCTGTCACCATGCAGGTCTTGCCTGCGAATTATGATTCTGTTAGTTGTAAAAAGTGGGGGAGGTGTTATGTGTATTACCTTCCAAGTTCTGTTTTTCTCTAATTTGAATGATTGTTCTTCAGATGCCAGGTCTTGCATGTTTCTGTGCTCTATCCTGTGCATCATACACCCCACTTTTCGCTACACCTCTGATGGCTGGTCCATGATCTTAGCGTATGGAGCCTAGGATTCAGAAATTTTCTTGCACCGTAGCCAGTTATCTGGGTTTTCTTGGCTTTCGGTACTTGGACAAGGATGGCTTTGAGCATTTTTCATGTCATCTACCTGATGACATTTCCTTGTAAGCCCCTGCCATCCTTTGCAGGTGACAGAGAACGGAAGCCAGTTTGGTTTAATAACTGTGTTACATGAGTAATTTGTTAGAGATCCCTGATCACTGCAAATATATTTGGTATTTAATCTGAGTATTGATTGGGAGCCAAATACCCTGTCTGTTGTGCTGCTGGCACCAGCTTTTTCTCATCTCCATTTCTAATATTTGCATGTGGCATTTTGGTACCTCCAGTCTGCAAGGTTTTCTGGCTGCACATATGCCACATCTCTGTCTCTTAATGACTGGTTCTGTCAACTCTTTGTTTTATGGTGGCTAGAGTGTCTTGCTGTTGAGTGATTCCTAACCCAGTCTTGCTGCTTGGGCTGTGCTTCTATGCGCTGGTCTGAATCACAGTGTTATGTTTGTCAATAGCATGTTTGTGTTTTGTTTTACAGCGTCCAAGTCTCCTTGCGAAAGACTAATAAACAAAGGAAGTTTGTCGCTGGGCAGCTCTGCATCTCTTCCTCCCCAGACAGGAAACCGGGACAACTTGCCAATGCTGAACACAAAAATACTCTACCCAAGTAAGTGTAACACCCACCGCTTCCCACTGAGGCAGCCAACTGGAGTACAGGTGACAGCAGCACAGGCTGCAGTCTCCACATGAAAACATGAAGTTGTCCTGCCTGATGTCCTTTTGTGCAGGGTCCACTTAGAGAGAAATCCCTTTGTGGATAACTTTCCACTAGGGCTGAAAAGTGGAGACTTGGAGAGAGCTGTAATAGTTTCCAGTTTGTAGCTGAGACCTAGACACAGATTTTTATTCACACTGTGCAGTGGCAGAATTTAGATGCCAATTACAAGGAGATACTGAGCTCACAGTAACCTTGAGAAGGCTGATAGGACACTGCTGAGAGAGGTTTCTGAAGAGTGGCAGCCATAGACTAGGAGCAGCAGTCCCTTCATGTGGAGGCTGAAGGCACTGGAGGTGCACAAAGCCAGCAGAATTCCCACCTTCCACATCTTGTGTAGCGACTTCTCCCCATCACCATGGTGCTGTCCTTCCACCTCTTCCCCCAAATTACTTGTTCAAATTGTTTCTTCTGGAAGCAGCTAATTTCATTTCTCTCTGACAAAGCTACTGTTGTGGGTCACCAGCTAATAATTTAAGAAGCAGAAGGCAGTAATTCTTGAGCAACTTGGAGAATAACTTCAGTCCTGCTCCTCTCTCTCTACTCACTGAAGCAAGGATGTTGCATGTCTCACCCTGGAACAAAAAAGCTACTGCAGTGAATACACTCCTATTTCCCGTTTCCATGTGTCTGTACAACTGTGCTGCTAGCCTTAGGTGATACCCTGTCAATCAAAACCCCTCTAGGCAGCCCCAGAAACTCTTCTCCTTACTGAGAGAGCTAAGCCTTCTGTGGTGGAAGAAAGCACTATTGCTATTTGCTTTCCACAGTGAATTACAAGAGTTAATATACTCTGCCCTGTCATCTTGTCTCTGAGATTGAAGTTACCTGTTTTCTGTTTATTATTATTAATCACACTCTTCCCTGTGGTCAATTTTCCAACAGATATCCGTGCTGGTATGTCTGGTTCCTTGCCTGGGAGCTCTGTCATCAGCCGATTGTTGATCCATGCCGATCCATTTAACTCTGAGCCTGAAAATCTGTGAGTATGCCCAGGAGGTTGAAGGGAGGGAGTGGGCGTTTCCAAATGGACCTCAACAGAGAAGCAGATTAATTTCTAGAGCTAAATAACAGACTGCAGCAGCCCAGAGTTATGTAAATGAATTCATATGCTGGGTGCCAGTGAGGATCAGCTTATGTAGTTATACATGCAGTGACACATCTGACTCATGGTAGAAGATTTTTAGATTTTAGGTGAGAATAAAATGTAGATCAGTCTTCTCCCTACACTCAGAGATGACTCCAGCTTCCAGTTAGTAGACAGTAACCTGTGGGGGAATCACTACCCTTAACAGCATGGAGGCCCGAGAAGGGTCATGGGCAGGCCACAACAGGGGAGGCAGTTGGGAAATGCGATGTGAAGACTTTCTCAGGCTGTTTCTGCTAAACAGTAGAAATCCAATGACTTAAAAGTTTTTTTTCATGGGGTTCAGTGCCCCTGAGATGAGTAGCTGACACTTCCAAGCTCATTTGTCAGGCTCTCTGTAGGTAACACCTTTTATATGTGTGTGTGTATATAATATATATATATGTGTGTGTAAAAGCACATTGGTAATGTTTTGTGAGGCCTTTTACACAATGCCAGTGACCAGCAACATTGCTTTTTGTAAACGAAGTGTAGGCTTCTTAGTGTGTTTCTGTGGCAAGGGGAGAATTCCTCTGCAAATGTTGCAGCTGTGAAGTCTTATGGACGGAGGCTGCAGGCCAGGGACCTCTGCTCAATAGCCACTTTTATGGTATTCTTTGTGGGTTTTAGGCAGTTGCCAGCAGTGCTTATCAGAGCACCTTGGCATACAGCCTTCTTGTTCTTCATCTTTTTATGCAAGAGAGTTATGAGGTGGCCAGAGGGGGCATGTGAGATGTGTACTGAATGGTACGTAGACTTAGAAATGGGAGTTTTGTTCTTTTGTTTGGCAGTGAATGTTACACAGAAAAGTGTGTCATGAATAATTACTTTGGAATTGGACTGGATGCAAAGATTTCTTTGGACTTCAACAACAAACGTGATGAGCACCCAGAGAAATGCAGGTGGGTTTGGCTTTGGCTACTGCCAGAAGTGACTGAAACCACTTATGTTTCTGTGTGGTTTTGAAGCCAATTGTGCAAAAGTGTGCTGAATAGGTATATTCTCGATCTTGTCTGCATAATCTTCTTTCAAGGCTTGAAATCATAATGGAGGAGATTAGCTACTGATTTATTACTGATTCATTATGCTGTTGTGGCTAGTATAAGATCTTTGAGTAACTACATTGGTGTGGATTTAGTGCATCAGTTCTATTTACTTCATGATGTCACTCAGATTTTTCTCCTGGGCTTGCTGTTTAGCTATAAGTGAATCACATCTCAGCTCTAAATGCCACAGAGGCCTTGATCCTAACTTAATACAAACCACAGGTTTTGGCCTTTTGAATACCTGGGCAACTACAGGATGCTTTGTGTAGCCTGCGATTGGTACATTTGCTATATTTGAGCTAATACTGGAAAATGCTGTTGATGTCCTGGTGTATGAGATTGACAAGTCCCGTGCCAGGGGAATCTGTGTATGTTTCTGGTAGTGTGTGTTATCCAGTCATCCTCAATTCATACCTGACATTTATTGAAAGTGGAGTAGTTTCCTAGCACAAGCAATGACTATTTTGAGCCTTGACCCTTTTGGAAGCAAAGCACCTTTGTGTTTTAGGATGTAGGAGGTACCATTTCAATGTGGGATTTTTTTTCCATCTAAGTGAAAAGGTAAATGCTTATGCTAACTTTTTCTCTTTTGATTTGCCCCCTTAGAAGTCGTACTAAAAACATGATGTGGTACGGAGTATTGGGGACCAAGGAGCTGCTACATAGAACATATAAAAACCTGGAGCAGAAAGTCTTGCTGGAGGTGAGGAATTAGTATGGCCTTCTGTTGCTAAAACTGGGATGCATAATTGCATCTCCTTCAGACACTTTGATTTTGGCGTGGTGATTCTGCTTGGTGAAGTTAGGGTGTTTCCCTTGCCTGGCTGATACAATGTACTTGCTGTATCTCACCCTGAGCTAGCTAAAAATGGCTTTTCCTGGTTCTGGGAGGTAACTTGTATTCTCAGCCTGCAAGGGAAGTGTCATCCTGCTGGAAGGTATTAGCTGTCCCGAACTCAGTATTAGGATACATAAGATTGTTATGTTACATGTGGTATCTCATGTGAACACAGCATTTTAGATACTAGGTGCAGTGGAAAGCTGTTAATTTAACTACACTATAATGTGCATCAAACTGGAAAAGAAGTACTCTTGTATGGGTCACATACAACATAAACAGGTAGCTTGCAGGAGGAGACCCTCATCTCAGAAGACTGCGTATTGCAGAATTTTTCTTCCCTTTTCCGGAGGAATAAACCAAGAGGCTTTGCCAAACCTCTGAGGTGTGCCCTATTCCTGTTTGGGGAAAAGAAGCAACAGTATCTCTCTAAAATCCATGTCTGCCAAAGGAGAGGTGGTTCATGAGACATGAATGGATATGTTCTATTCTGCTAGGCCAAGAATAAAGTGGAGGAAACCTGAATTAATTTATTACTAAGTTGTGCAGTCTGCTTTCTGTTCTTAGAGCACGTGCTCTGGCAGGAGGGGCTCTCTCTTGCCGTGCTGAGAGTAATATTACCTTCTTTTCTGTACAGTGCGATGGAAGGCCAATCCCGTTGCCCAGTCTCCAGGGAATCGCTGTACTCAACATTCCCAGCTATGCAGGAGGCACCAACTTCTGGGGGGGGACCAAGGAAGATGATGTGAGTATTCTCTAAGGCAATGCAGGAAGTGTTTTACTTACTGTTGCTTTTGAAGTCATAACCCCTGAGAACAGTGCTTGGAAGAAGAGGGAAAGGGGCCTGTCTGCATGTACTTTCTCTGTGAGGTGGATACAATACTGAAATCCAATCATCAGCAGCTTCGTATCCAAGCAGTCTGTAGGGATTCGGGGGGGGAACCCACCAAAAAACCAAACCAGATGCTGTCCTGGTCATTTGGACTTCTAGGAAGTGCCTTAGATTGACTTCTCCCCTCAGACTGCCTGAGAAGTAAAGCCTCTTGAAGGCAAAGGGAGTTAGATCCAGTCAGAAACATTGTATTATTTGAGATGAAAAAGTGCCTACTCTCATGAGAATAATTATTGCCTTGTGGCCTACAGCCTTTGTGTTTGGATTATACTTTAGCTGCCATTGGAAGCACAGTGGGAATATTGAGGCTCCTTTTTCTTCCTCCTAGCTCACTGCAAATCTTCACCTTCTAGCCTTGTTAATGTTATAGATTAAAAAGCACAATTGAAAGCTGACCTCCAAATCTTCACCAAGAGGGGGTAAAGGAAACCTCTCCAACAGAGCTGTATGTCAACTGAATTCTCTCTCCCTTGTATCTGGCTAGACATTTACAGCCCCCTCCTTTGATGACAAGATTTTGGAGGTGGTAGCAGTGTTTGGTAGCATGCAGATGGCAGTGTCACGAGTGATAAACCTACAGCATCACCGGATTGCACAGGTATCAGTTGCTTTTGTGAGCTCTTCTTGCCTCCCCCATCTCCAATTTGTGATGTTCATGCCAATTTCAGTCATTAAGCCCTCCTTTGTGCTCTTTCTTGTCCATGGAAAGAGCATCCACCAGGGCTGAAAATTAGCATGTTCAGGAGCAATTTGGGCATAGAATTGTTTGCTAGAATTCATTGTGGTAGGAGTTAGACCATCAATTCAAATACAGATTTGTAGTCCAAAGACAAAGCAAATGGTCCCTGCTGCACAATGCAGCAGGGCGTGCAAGTCGTGCCCTGCCACCCTGACACCCAGGCACATGTGTCTGTAATAGCAGCAAAGCTACAGTACCTGGGGAGGTGCTTTGGAAAGAAAGAGAATGCCTTATGCTTTTGGAAGATCAATGTTCTGGAGCTTCTCTGACACAGTCACTTCTTGCAGTGTCGGACAGTGAAGATAGCAATCCTGGGAGAAGAGGGAGTTCCTGTGCAAGTGGATGGAGAAGCCTGGATTCAGCCTCCGGGTTACATTTGGATTGTTCATAAGAACAGAGCACAGACCCTCACCCGAGACAGGGTAAGAGCAGCCTTGCATACACTGTGTAGTACACACATGTTTCAATATCACATATTCCTGGAGAGCGTGGCAATGGCCACACATGAAAGCGTATCTTTGTGAATGTAAGAAGCGTACTTTGCTGCTCACCATAAAACTTTTTGGAAAGAATGTGATTAAACTTGCATTCACCACTTGTGAAATTGCATAAATAAAGTTGTTTATGCAAGCTTATTTTGCTTCCTTTTCTAGGTGCCTTGTGACAGCGTTTCTTAACACGCTTGCATGCTGTTTTTCCCACAGGATGCCTGCCTCACTGAGTGCTGCAGATTGTCTAGATTCAGCTGTTCAATATTTTAATTTCTAATTATTGTTCAGTATGTGGCTTATACTTCATTGACCAAGTAAAGCAGTGTCTTATGCCTTGTTCAGCAGTGTGTGTCTGTCTCATCTCATAATTTTCAAATATATCTAAAATATATCTGATGAGTACCAGCACATAAGGAATTGTCCTTGCCATTTTACTGTATTACTGAATGGTGATAAGCCAAAGGAAAGGATAAAGGCCTTACTGTAGCACAAACAGGCTTTATGCTTCCTCCCGGTTCCTCCCAGTATGCCATCCCACTCCTCAATGCCTGCAAACCCAGTCTTGCAGGCATGGAATTGCCGCTGAGGAAGAGGTTCCAGTTTTGCAGAGCAACTTTCAGCTTCTGTCTTGACTGTTGCCTTATCCTTATTTTTCCTGCTGTCCTTTCGATCATTGTTGCACATCCCTTCCTTCACAGAGCAAATCTGTCCTATTCAGTAGATGAAGTGGGGTCCTCTCTTCATGTGTGACCCTGCATGTTTGGTAGCATTTTTCAAATGTGATTTGGGATATTTAATTTCCTAAACTGAAGGTGGAAAAACTCAAATTCCTTTGTGTGGCCTCATCTGGACCACTGAAGAGTCATCAGCAAGGCTGAGATCAGCAGATAGCTTGCACTGAGCTGACAGAGCCTGATTTTGGTCCTGTATGAGGACCAGTAGGGGAAGGGAATGCTTTACCACAGGGCTTCACAGGTATTTGCAGGTGCAGGAGAATGGCTTGTCCCCAGAACCTTGGGTTGTCCCCAAAGGCAGTTGTGTTCTAGTGGACACTGGTTTTTCTGCTCCATCTGTCTCCTCTCTCTACGCTTAGTCCTGTGCTCCTTACCTAGTCTGTACTCATCTCATTTGACTTCCCAGACCCAGGATCCATGACTACCATTTTCTTTCCCTTTCCCATCCACCCATCACACTCAATCTCCTCTCCATTTCTGGCTCCCCAAATGCTGGGGTTTTTTTTTTTCCCATGAAAACTTTGCACCCCTGCTTATTATCTTCATCATCTTCTCTGAATTATTTTCCGATTTCCCTATTTCAGCCTTCCCCTCCCACAGCCCCTTCTCTTGTCTAACCTTCTCTCTTGCCATTTCTTGTGCTCTTGATCCATCTCTCCTTGCCCTGAGGCTCTGTGTTTCAGTTTTCATTCTCACCATTCCCAATTTTGATCCTTCTGCATTGGATCTGTTTTACTTCTTCCTGTA